TATAGGTAGGTAAAATGGAGCTCTAACCAGTAGGTGCATTTCTCACTGTACAGCTTCACGTCTTTGTGGTGCTGAGATTGAAGAACTGTTTCATGCCCGTTTTAGTTTGTGTGCTGTAATGTTTGGGCTACAGACTCCACACGAAGAGCTTTTATTGATTCCATTGGAACCTGGATTGTGAGAAGTTTGTAAAATCTAAATTTGGTGAAAAGTTGCCTGTGTGCTCATAACCTGTTGTTCCATTTTATAGTAGCATGGGAGTCTATAAAGAGGAGCCCTGTATGCTGAGTGCCTGTGTTCTTTTCTAGATCTATTTTTAAGCCATTCTTCTGTTTGGTAAAAAGTGACACTTGGTTTCCATGTTTACAGCAGGCATTGGCAAACCTCAGGAGTTCACAGTTTGCAGTTTGGTTAGATGAGTATCCAAAAGTCAGCATCTGACCAGTAAACTCCTTCAAACTGCAAATTTAGACTGCAAATGTAGTCCTCCCTGTGTTGGGTTTTTTCTTTTTTTTTTTTTTTTCAGAATCCATGGTAGATCTTGTGTTTTCCCGTTGCTGCAGGATGCTGGCAGCCAAAAGACATGCACCCCTACAATCAGAGCAAGTGCATAGTCTTCAGGACTGCTTTAAATCCCCAGCAATCTCAGTGAAGCTTCACATCTAAAACACAAGGAGAGCTAAGGGCACTGGGAGAGGGGAGAGATTTTTGGGCTATATTGTTTTCCCCCCCCCTCTTTCCCCTGGACAGCATGCTGCCTTTGGGCTATGTGCCAGGTACCCACGAGGAATATGAGATCTCTGCTTATGGAGGGGAAAGCTTGGGACAAGCACAGTGCAGGACCCTGAGTCCTGAAGAACGCATCTTGTAGGACCAGGCACCCTCTGAAATGGGTCTCCTTAAATCTGCTTGGTTAAATAAACATGATTTATGAGGAGGTGTCTCTCCTCTGGCCAAGGTACCCCAAGCTGTGTGCATGTCTCACCCCATCCAGACAGGATTCCCAAGCAGTTCCTTGCTGCCAGGATGAGCTTTGCCACCCTCAGCCCCAGGAGGACGGAAACAGGGAGGGTTGAGTCGGTGACAGCTGGTGATTTACTGTCCCGGTGCAGGGTGGGGATGACAGGACACCTCCTTTGAGCCCAGCTGGGCCAGGGACCCGACTCAGCTGCTGGGGATGCCCAGCTCTGGCTGCACCCTGCTGCGGGGTCGGCACCTTGGCGCAAGGCTCGGTACTGGCAGGGCACGGTGTCGGTCCCTTGTTCTCTGGAGTAGCTTGCTTGACTTCAGCTGAGAGGCGGTTCCTGCCTTCCCGTGAAAAATTAATGTGCCAAATTGCTTGGGGTTGTTTGAAATGCTGAAGAAGGCTTGACTCTTCGCTTCCCAAGGGCACGCGCTGCCTCTGCCTCGCAGTCGGAGCTTGACTCCGTAGCGGGCAGGATAGTCCTCTTTAGTGGAAAAACATTGGAGGCAGTTTTAGTGGGCTTCCTCCCTCCTCTGCATTTTCTTCTGCAAAGACCAAAACAATGTGCAGACTTGAGCTGGGCCAGCTTTCAAGGGCAATCCTTTTAAACCCTCTTTTGAAGTACAAACTATAAAGTTCCCTGCAGTGCTCGAGAAAGTATGCAGTTTTCCTGGTTCCAAATGCTGATAATAAACCCGTCCAGATAATGTATTGCATTTCCTAGAAACATTTGTTTGCTGGCAGGAAATTGGATCAGATTGAAAGTTAGCAGAGACCGCTCGATAGCGCGAGTGCAGTCAGCTCACGGAAGGGTACGGGGGAGAAACGGCAGGGCTTGCGCTGGTGATGCTGCTTTTGATCTGCGCTAGCACCATGCGCTAGGACTTCTCTCCTTCTCGAGTTATTATTAACCCAGCCACGTTTTGGCCTAGACGCCAACCAGAAGCTACTAAATTAATAAAACTGTGCTGTGACAGCTAAAGGACGCTTAGTGCCCCCTGATTGTGTGACACTGGGAAAGCTGAGCTGGGCACTTGCATCTCCCCAGCTGAGAGCATCCTCTTCACCATGGCTTGCAGCACCCAGGACTGTGCCTGGGGGGGCCCCCACACTGCCCCATTTTCTTGGTTGTCCCTCTGGTCCCTGATCAGGAGAAGCCAGGCATTCCCTGGCAGGGTGGAGAGGGTCTGCCCTGGCAGGTGGGGGGACCGTTCCCACTGTGGGGGGGACCCTGCAGGGTGCTGGGACTGAGGAGGAAGGAGGGAGGGCAGGATGGAGCTTCCTCTGGGCGGGCAGTTTCGGAGCATTGTGTGGGATGAGGCTGTGGGGAAGGAAGACTTCACCCAGCCACCCCTCCGGGGTGATGTGAGGGAGTCAGCGCTGCAGGCTCCAGAGGGGTAGGAGACTGGGACCCAGAGGGGGAGAGTGATTGGTGTCCTCCCCTAGGCTATGCATTTCGGGTGGCAGAGGGGCAAAGATGAGAGGGGTATCCCCCATGCAAAGACGGGTAGGGGAGGAAGGAGTGTCCCTTGTGCGCAGGGTGGGAGGAAGATAGATGAAAAAGGATTCCCTATAAATGGGAGAGCAGCTGGATGGAGGAGTTTCCCTGTGCATGGCAGAAAGATGGA